TCCTCCTCCTCCTCCTCCTCCTCCTCAGTTTCTGAGGCGCCGCCGAGACATGTTTTGCGTCCTGGTGTTCCAGGGCACTGGCTCCCTGGGCGGTGGACATGTAGCCGGATTGGGAAGGGCGCCAGGCCGCTCGATGCCGAACGCTGGAGAAGGGCTCCTTCCCTCAGATCTGGCGCCGCGATATCTCACAACGGGGGCCCTCGGAGGTCTAGGCATAGGCCATCTCCCCCGCAGCGGGTCTTGCACCCCTGTCCGCTTCTGGCCGTGCTGGGGCCCGGCGACGGCCCCGGGAGGCCCGCAGTGACGAAACGCCTCCCGTGATGATCTTGTCGCGACGAGAGTTATGTTGCTCCCATGGTACTTCAGGACCACATCCCAGAGATAATTCCGAGCACCCGGAAAAGTGTCGAAACAGTGTCGAAACAGTGTCGGACGAGTGTCTCCCAGGGCCCGACACGTGAACACCCTCGAGATTTGGGGTACTTTCTTGGTGTTCGAAATTCTTTCTGGCTGGCGGTCGAGGCTAAAGTAGGTTGGAACATCATAAGACAAGGGCTCATTCCCTCAGATCGGGCGTCGCGATGTTTTGCAGCGTGGGCCCCCGGAGGTCAAGGGGCCCCTCCCCCGGAGCGGGTTTCTGCATCTCCCTGGCCGCTCTTGGCCGTGCCGGGGCCCGGCGACGTCCCCACGGGGGCCAGGAGTGACGAAATTCGCCTCCCGCCGTGACCTCGTCGCGACGAGAGGAGGTCTGGGGCAGGGGCGCGCCGTGCTCTCTGGTCTCTTTGGGGGGGAGAGAGGGAGGCGCCCCAGCCCCGGGAGCGAGCGCCACCTGCATAAAGGTCCCCGCCTGCGCCCCGGGCGCAAATCTCTGGGCCGCAGGGCGCCGCGCGAGCCTCGTGCCGCGCGCTAGTCCTCCGCACTCCTTTTTCCCTCCCTCTTCCTTTCCTGGCTCCTCCTTTCCTGGCTCCTGCTTCCCTCCTCCTCCTCCTCCTCCTCCTCCTCCTCCTCGTTCCTCGTTCCTCCTCCTCCTCCTCCTCCTCCTCCTCCTCCTCCTCCTTCCCTCCTCTTCCCCCCTCCCTCAAGAAACAGCCCTCGGACATCTCCTGGGGTGCGCTCTGGCGGTCCTGGTGCGACGAGAGGCCTGCTGGAAGCCCTCGACACTCGGACCTTCGTTACTCGAACCTCCTCCTCTTTCTGTCCTTTCTCTGGTTTATGGCAGAGGTCCGACGCCCGCGGGACAGGATTCGGGGGCGCGCAAAGATGGATTAGCGATCCATGGATTTGGCGCGCGGTCGCCGAATCCATGGATCGGGGGAGGTGCCCTCCCCAAAATGCGGCCAGTGCCGCCTCGCTCGGCGGCGGAAGTCCGCGATTGCCCATGGAAACGGGACCCGTCGCTAATCCACGCCCCCTGCATCCATGTGTACGATCACCTAAAGGATGAGAGCAAGATGTGAAAGGAACGTAAAGACAATGTGGCGGCGACGGCACATCAGCAGCAGCAGCATGTCAGTGGCACACATGGATCACCCTGAAGCGCAATCCTCGGCCATCTAACGTCCAGTGCAGACGCCAACTGTGCAAGGCCTTGGCCCTTTCCCAGACCACGTCTGCCACTGTCAATGAGTGCGACGCCACAATCTCAGGTAAAATGGAACCAGGCTTGCTTCAACGGGTTGAGATTGCCCTTCACTCTAAGTTACTGCCACAAGCGGCGCGCGGAACCTGGCAAAACGAGGGGGACAGTGGACTCCACGAGGGGCGAGAGCAGCAAGCAGCATACCGAAAGCCAAGCCAATTCTGCATCTGTTTATCTCCTGGTGTCTCGTATCCGGTTGTGAATCATACAGTCCGTGCCTCTCTGTGGGTCTCATCAAGATGAAAGGGGCCTGGTGGAGTGTGGAAGCTTCTCAGGGAGGGAGGAGGGAAGGTGGAGGAAGATGAGGATCAACGCTGGCGGACGACGCTTGCAAAGCGGAGGTCGGAGGAGGAGGAGGAGGAGTAGGAAGAGGAGGAGGAGGAGGAAAGATGGAGGAGCAGAAGGAAGAGGAGGAGAAGGAGGAGGAGGAGGAGGAGGAGGAAAGGGAGGAAGGAGGAGGAAAGGAGGAGAGGAGAAGAGGAGGAGGAGAAGGAGCAGGAGGAGGAGGAGGAGGAGGAGGAGGAGGAGGAGAGGAGGAGGATGGGGAGGGGGAGGGAAGGAGGAGGAGGAAGGAGGAGGAGGATAGGAAGAGAGGAGGAGGAGGAGGAGGGGCGGCGTTCGACCGGACCCGAGCGACCGCAGCCTCGAGGCCTCGGTGGCGCGCCCCCCCCCACCCTCCTCGTCGAGGCGCCGCGGCGGCGCTGGCGCATGGCGGCCCCTGCCTGCGGCGGCGCCGCGCGCGCGCCATCGCCCCGCGTTCGCCGCCGACCTCCTCCTCCTCCTCCTCCTCCTCCTCCTCCTCCTCCACCTCGTCCTCTCGTCCTCCGTACCTCCTTCCCCTCCTCCCTCCGCCTCCCATCCTCCTCCTCCTCCTCCTCCTGCTTCCTCCTCCTCCTCCTCCTCCTCCTCCTCCTCCTCCTCCTCCTCCTCCTCCTCCTCCTCCTCCTCCTCCCTGCTACGGCCATCTGGGAGGCCTAGACTAGCGTTGCCCCTGACCCCTGCGCGGCGCGCACCTCCCCTCGTTGCAGAGGAAACGAGACGGCAGGTTTGGGGCCGTTCGGGCGGGCGGTCATTGGGGGGTGGCCTACCAATGGGGGGTGAAGAAAAGGGCCCTGAAGGGGCCTCTGAAGGCCCCTTTCTGGGCACCAGGTGGCTCCAGAAGGGGCCCTACAGGGCCCCTTTAGGGCCCTTTGCGTCACCCCCCATTCGGGGAAGTGTCTGGTGGTGTCCGTCTTCCGTTTCCGGGAGGGGGGGCACGATTTGTCCGCCCTCCTCTGCGCAGAGACCCAGCAATAGGAATCAGCAAGCATCCAGTACAGGGGGATTGTTGATAGGCATTTGCATGTGTAGCTACTCGCCTATCGCACAGCATTGCAGTCAGTAGTGTGGCCATTTCATTCACAGAGCTGTCCTGAAGAGGCCCTGGAGGCCGAAAGCTCGACAGAGCCACTGACAAAAAGGCACGGGCTTGAGAGCGCCATACGAGTCAGGGGTACATACCATGGGAACCGCACGGCCCGAAACGAATACTAGTACCTTGCACCAACCAACCATGTCCTCGCCTTGGGGATGGGCTGATGGCAGGGTCATCACTGACCCGGCAGAGCCACGTCACGAACCCAGGCCGTCAATCGCAAGCCCAAGTAGGAGGGGCGGGAAGGCCGCCGGCCCCACGTGTCCAACTCCGCAAACACTGGATCCAAACATGTGAGTGAACGCGTTTCGTGGACGCTTGCCTGGAAAAAAAACTTGACACGTTGGAACGGGGCCCCCTCTCTCCAAAAATTATCCTGGCGAAGGGCCCAACCACATGCAGTTGTGAGTATCGCAGTTGTGGGTATCCCCGTCCGCGGATCTCCATTTGGGGCACCGACGTGTTTAAAGGGTGTGCCGAAATGGGGCGGGAACGCATGCGGCTGCAGTTATTGGGGCCTTCGCTGGCGCTCCATGTGGGGCCACGAAACGTGTGATTGTGTGTCGAAATGGAGCGGGGCCGCCATGCGAACGTCACCGCTGGAGCCTTCAGTGAGCTCCCGATGGGGCCACGAAACGCGTGAGGGTTATGCCGAAATGGGCGGGGGGGGTGTAATCGAACGTCGCCACAGGGGCCTTCGTTGGAATTCTGTATGGGGCCACGAAACGCGTGAGGGGTGTGCCGCAATGTGCGGGGGGAGACGCATGTGATGACAGCAAGCGGGATCTTCGGTGGAGGTCACTATGGAGCCACGAAGCGCCATACTGTGTGACGCGGACGCATATGGTCACAACCGCTGGGGCCTTTGGTGGAGCTCTATGGGGCCACGAAGCGACGTACTGGGTGGCGCGGGAAGCATGTGGCCACAGCCACTGTGGCCTTCGGTGGAACTCCCTATGGGGCCACGAAACGCCGTACTCTGTGGCGCGGGACGCGTGTGGTCTCAGCCGCTGGGGCCTTCGGTGGGCCCCCTACGGGGCCACGCAGCGCCGTACTAGGTGTCGCGGGACCTACGTGGTCACAACCACTGGGGCCTTCGGTGGAGCTCCATATGGAGCCACGAAACGCCGCACTGGGTGGTGCAGGACGCATGTGGCTACAGCCACTGGGGCCTTCGGTGGGGTTCCCTGTGGAGACACGAACCGTGGTACTGGGTGGCGCGGGACGCATGTGGTCACAACCACTGGGGCCTTCGGTTGAGCTTCCGATGGGGCAACGAAGGGCCGTGCTGGGTGTCGCGGGACGCATGTGGTCACAGCCACTACCATATGGGGCCACGAAAACGTCTGAAGGGTGTGTCGAAATGTAGCAGAGCCGCCATGCGAACGCTGGGGCCTTCGGTGGAGCTCCATATGGGACCGCGAAACGTGTGAGGGGCGTGTCGAATCACAGTGTCGAAATGGAGCGGGGCCGCCATGCGAACTTTGCCACCGTCGCCTTCGTCGTCGTCGTGGTCGTCGTCGTCGTCGTCGTCGCCGTCGCCGTCGCCGCCGTCGCCGTCGCCGCCGTCGCCGTCGCCGTCGCCGTCGCCGTCGCCGTCGCCGCCGCCGCCGCCGGCCCCGCCGCCGCCGCCGCCGCAATCGTTGTCGTCGTCGTCGTCGTCGTCGTCGTCGTCGTCGTCGTCGTCGTCGTCGTCGTCATCGGCGTCGTCGTCGTCGTCGGCGTCGGCGTAGTCGTCGTCGTCGTCATCGGTCGCCGTCGCCGCCGTCGCCGTCGCCATCGCCTTCGCCGTCGCCGTCGCCGTCGTCGCCGTCGCCGTCGCCGTCACCATCGTCGTCACCGTCCCCGTCGCCGCCGTCACCGTCGTCATCGTCGTCGTCGTCGTCGCTGCCCGACGGCGCCGGCGACTTCGCCGGCGCCGGTGCTGGCGATCGCCGTCGTCGGTTGCAACCGGGGTGGGCCCCCTCCCGGTTCGAACACCCCCCCTGCAACTCAGGGGGGTGCCCTTGCGCGTCGTCGTCGTCGACGTCGCCGTCGCCGTCGCCGTCGCCTTCAACGTCGCCGTCGCCATCGCCGTCGCCGTTACCGTCACCGTCGCTGTCGCCGTCGCCGTCGCCGTCGCCATCGCCGTAGCCGTCGCCGTCGTCGTCGCCGTCGCCGTCGTCGTCACCATCGTCGTCGTCCAACTGTAACCTTCGGTGGAGCTCCCTTCGGGGCCACGGAGCGTGTGAGGGGCGTGTCGAAGCCCCATGTCCCACTGAGGGGGGGGGTTCGATACGGCGGGCCTTGGTGGGGGGGGTCGAACCATGGGGGGCCCACCCACGCTGACTTGCAACGTGGAGGGGTTCGAACCATGGGGGGTCCCCCTCCGCCCCCCCCCGTGCGCGTCGTCGTCGTCGCCGGTCGCCGTCGCAGTCGCCGTCGCCTCCGTCGTCGTCGCCCTCACCGTCGTCGTCGCATCCGCCGTCGCCGTCGCCGTCGCCGTCGCCGTCGTCGTCGCTGTCGCCGTCGCCGTCGCCGTCGCCGTCGCCATCGCCGTCGCCGTCGCCGTCGTCGTCGTCGTCGCCGTCGCCGTCGCCGTCGCCGTCGCCGTCGCCGTCGTCGTCGTCGTCGCCGTCGCCGTCGTCGTCGTCGTCGTCGGCAGCGCTGGCGCTGGCGCTGGCGCTCGCCGTCGTCGGTTGCAAGGGGAAGCCCGTTCCCAGTTCCAGCCCCCCCACTGCAACTGGAAGGGGGGGGGCCCCCCTGGTTCGAACACCCCCCCCTCCTTGGACAAATGGGGGAGGGGCGCCCCTGGTTCGAACGCCCCGCCCCGGCAACTCAGGGAGGACCCCCTCCCCCCTGGTTCGAATCCCTCCACCCCCCCGCCGGTACCCCCCCCCCTTTGTGTCTCAGGGAGGGGGGGGGGGGGCACCACCCGGCTCGAACCCCCCCCCCGTACGATTCGCAGCGCCCACAAATGGCGCTCTTTCAAAAACGCTGACGCCTCACTGCTGCTCCCGCTGGCGGAGCGCGCCACCGTGCAATTGACCTCCGCCGGCTTCCTCCTACCGCCAGCCTTCCGCCGACTTGGGGCGGGATGCGCGAGAAGGTGAGCCCTCTTTGGAGCGGCGCGCCGCGCGGACCCCGCACTTGGGCCAGCCAGGAGGAACCAGTGGGGGGGGAACTGGCTGCCCCCCTCCCTGTTGCATGGCGCCGACCCAATGTTTCCGAAGATCGCGAGTTGCTCCCAACATGAAGTTCCTTAAGACAATTTTCTTGTCATCCCAGCCCCTCTTCCGACGGCCCCCGGGGGCCTGGCACGGGGGGGCTTCTGATGTCGCGCGCGCCCTGGCTCGCGCGTGTGCGTCTGGGGGTCCAAATATGCCCCCCCCCCCCCCAAAAGAAACTCCAGGCCTCCAGAACCCCCTTATGTCCATCATCCTGCTCCCGCTCAATTGCCCGAGCCCTCGCCCTCAAGGGCGACCAAACACATCCCCAAACGTGGGAAGCCTGCGACCCACGGAGCACACTGCACATCAGAACTGTTCAGCGCACCCTGGAGAAACCAGAGCTGGCAGATGCAACCTGTGGAGAGACAAAAAAAAGGGCGACCCGAAACAGCACTCGGAGGGACAGGGCTCCGCCGCTTCTCCCTGGCCGGCGGCTGCTGGCGGGCAGCGGCTGCCTGCGGGCGCCGCGCCGACGCCGGCGCCGCCTCGGGGCTGCCCCGCCTCGGCCGCCCGCGGCTGGCCCGGGCAGTCTCCAGCGGACCGCGGCCGGCCCGGGCCGCCGCCGCGCCCGAGCCTGGCGTCGCGGGGGGGGGCTCTTTACGGGGGGCGCTGTGGCGCGGCAGTCACGCCGTAGAATGAGGGTGCGCGGTGAGGGTGCAAGCGCCGTGGAAAGCCATGCTAACATTGGTCGCAGGAGGATGTCCGGCGAAAACTACCAAGGATGTACCAGCGGGGCAAGGATGCAAAGGTAGCCTTGGGAAGCCGCTCCTCTTTACCATGCGCGCTGAACGTATAGCTTGAGGCGCTAACGTGGTGGCACCACTGCAACATCGCTGGAGCGCGCACGGGCGCAGCGAAATCTCATGATAGTGCATCGCGCCACAGGGTTTGGTGGAACTCATGGAAACGCGACGGTGCCGAACCAATATGGCGTAAGAGCGCAAGGGACGAGGGGGATACCAAGAAAGGGGCGAGAAGCCATGCTTATAATAAGTTTAACGGTGTATCAATAAATATGTATAAACATATATGCATGCATGTATGTATATATGGTTGCAGGGATATGTATACGCACGCATCTATAGGTATGCGTGTACATACGTACATATGTATATGTGTATGTCTGTATGTATATTTATACACAAGATTGCAGTGGCGTTTCGCGCCATGCACCTTGGCCCTTGAAGTTTGGTATGCAAGCGTAATAGCAGGAAGGCCAAACCGACAATTTAACGATAAATCCTTGTAGCCTTTTCCGGCATCGCCGCTATAATAATGTTATTCGTTATCCTTCCTCCATGTTTTTTTCCCTTTTTCCCGTCATACCCTGCGCATTCCCCCCATCCTCCTCAATTCTTTTTTGTGGAGGCCCCTCCTTGGAAAGCCTCTGGCGGCCTCACAAAAGTTGCTTCAGGTTCTCTTGAGGCCTTCTGGAGGCCTCCTGGGCGTATTCTGGGGGCCTCTGGGGGCTTCCTCGGGCCACCCTGCCTCCAACCGCGGTCTCCGTGGACGACCGCGTCACGATTTGGAATGATTCGGAGGGTGTCTTTGGGCCATATTTGGCCGCCATGGGGCTCTCTGAGGGCCATCTTGGGCCCGTGTTGTGCCGTTTTGGGGCTCTCTTGGACTGCCTGGACGCCCTTTTTCGGATGGTTGTGGGGCGATTTTGGAGCCTCCCAGGCGGCCTCGGACGCCCAGAAGACCGCCGTCTTGGAGCGTCGGGAAGCCGAAAAGAGGAGAACCCCCAAATCCACCAAAAACTTACAACAAATAATAATGTTTGCCTCTGGGGGCCTTTTTGGGAGTGTTCTTGGAGGCCTCTTTGGGCCCGTCCTGTAAGCCTTTTGGGCCATCTTGAAATCACGTCGGTCACTCTTGGAGCGCCTTTGTGTTGTTTTGAAGGTCTGTGGGACGTCCCCGATGACCCCCTCTGATCGCCCTGTGCGTGCTGGGAACGCTTGGCAAAACGCCCTGCGAGGCCCGGGGGCCGCTTCGAACCCCAGATCCCGGGAGTTTCCCCGCCCGCGCTTGCAAATATATAGGAAGAGGAATATTGCCATCGCTGCGACGTCAGCCAAGCAATCATCACGCTCCTGGGTGATAGCGTTTATGTCGCCACTGACCGCCTGAAAGATATGTTCCTAACCGTGTTCAGCTGCGACAGCGGGAAGGCGAGCCTCGAGTTCCAGCACTTTGACCTTGATGCCCTTGATGGCCGACATGAGAGGAAGCCCGAAGTCCTCAAACTTGGCCTCACGTCGTCTGGCCAGCTTGCCCCACTGCGGAGGAATAAGTGTTGCACTGTGTTTCGACATAACATCCACGACCGCGTCAATAGCACGTGTATGCGCGTCCACTTGAAAGCCCAACAACCTCTCTTCCTGCAGTTGCAACATGGTCATTAAATCCTTCATCTCGTTCACAAGGGTCTCGTCAGCTGGCCGGTCACCATGCGACGCGTCGTCAGCAGGTCGCACACCGGCACCAACGCCGTCCATTGTAGTAGGACAAGTGGGTGCATCGCCGCCGAAGGGAACAGCGACAATCGACAAGTCTGATACATGTTTGAAATAGAATGCCGAATCCGTGGTTCCATCAAAATGTGTATGTCCCCGATATGTAATAGCAGCCACGTCGGACACCTGGAAAAGGAAGTGGGGACATGTGTATATATATATATATATATATATATATTAGACACGTATATATAGACACGTTTACATACACAAACGTGTGTATGTGCATGTATGCACGTATGCATGTACGTATGTGTGTATGTATGTACGTATGTAAGTATATGTGCCGTCGCGGGCGTTCCCCAAACAAAAAACCGGCGGAAGAGGGAGAGGATCCGGGGGGGGGGGGAGCGAAAGTGGAGGAGCGTGGGGAGAAGAGCCGAGCAGAACCAAACAATCTTCCGAGCCGAGGATTTGCCGGCATCCCCGGGGCTGACAGGCAGCCCCCGCGCGCAGACGCAACGCACCATGTCCGAGGTGCTCGCCCTGCGGGCCCACGCGAGCGAAGGAGGAGGAAAGGCAGGAAAAAAGGAAAGAGGCGAAGCCATAAGGGAGCTGACTCACGCCGCGGAAGCGGGTGCCCACGTCGGGCTGGACACGACAGGCAGACCCGCCAGCATTCAGGATCATAGCGCCACGCGCAGACCGAGGCGAGACGCGTCCCGAGCATCGTCCTCCCTTCCGTCGCCAGCAGGACCCTCATGTGCATGATCCGCATCACCAGGGACGCCACCACCATCTCGTAGCCCATCTCATACCCATCCCCTCCATGGTCGCCGCCGCCATCACACACCTCAGCATCATCGTCGCCATCGTCGCCGTCATCGCCATCGCAATCGTGAATTTACGTGCTCCGGGGAGGCGTGGTGGAGCACATGAAACGGGGGTTGGCGGACATCTCCATCACGGCCATCACCATCACCGTCGGCATCATTATCATTAACACACGCAGCCACCTCGTCATCGTCATCGCCATCGTCGTGAGCATCGTGATTGCACGCGCACGGAGGGAAAAAAAACAAACAAAATGTCCTCACGCGCATGATCAGCATCACCAAAATCGCCATCATAATTTACAATTGTCTTAGTGTGGTTATGTGTATCATTGGCACGGTCGCCTCCAACATCATGATCCTCATCGTCACACTCACCATCGCCATCGTCATCGCCATCGTCATCAAAATCGCCATCGTTATTTTACGTGTTCCGGAGAGGCGTTTCCGGAGCACTTGACATGTGGGTTTGCGGGCATGTCCATCATCATCATCGTCATCATCATCACCATCACCGTCATCATCGTCACCATCATCATCATGAGCAGACTCATCATTATCGTCATCGTCATCGCCATCATTGCCGAAGTCCTTCCCGCCCGTCATGGAACTGTCGTGGGCCGTCATAGGTGGCTCTGGGCGTGAGTGGGTTTGCGTAGGGGGTGTCTCGGGGCCCAGCGGGAGCTGTCTTGGGAGCGTCGCGAGGCCCTCGTGGGCACTCGCGAGATTCTCTCGGGTTGCATCGAGGCTCTCATCGGCCGTCTTGAAGCGCTCTTGGGGAGGTATCAGGCGGTCTTGGGGGCGTCTTCGCGGCGCCCCAAGCTGTTTGGAGGCTGTCCTGGGCGCCTTGGGTCGTCATTTTGGTGGCGGGGGGGGGGGCCACTCTGGACTATTTTGGATTGGGAAGCCGCCGTGAAGCCCCCCAGACCAGCCCATAAAAGGAGCGGGCAGGATCACGGAGCAGGGGACGACGACAACGACGACGACGACGGCGCCGCGGCGCCCGGGAGGAGGGGGGAACGGTCAGGGGAGGGCCAGAAGTGGAAGGTTGGAGGGACAGGGAGAGTGGGGGAGGGGGAACAGAGGGGAGGGAAGGAGCGGCGGCGACAGAAGAAGCGGAGGAGAAGCGACCGAGGCAAACTGTGTCTCCGTTGTTTTCGCTTCCTCGGGGCCCCAGGGAGGAATCGCCCAGCGAAACGCCGACGCGCCCCGGACCCCAGCGCAGCGAGGGAGAGCAGCAAAACCCTGAACAGCCTGCCGGCCGCGCTGCGCAGCGCCGACGCGGACGAGGCGCACAACTGTGCCGTCGCGGGCGCTCCCACAAACGACCCCGCGGAGAAGGGGGAGGAGGAGGAGGAGGAGGAGGAGGAGGAGGAGGGGGAGGAGGAGAGGGGGAGGAGGAGAGAGGAGGAGGAGGAGGGAGGAGGAGGAGGAGGAGGAGAGAGGAGGAAGGAGGAGGAGGAGGAGGAGGAGGAGGAGGAGGAGGGGAAGAGAAGGGGGAGGGGGAGGAGGAGGCGGAGGGGGAGGGGGAGGAGGAGGAGGAGGAGGAGGAGGAGAAGGGGGAGGAGGAGGAGGCGAGCGCAGGCGGCACCGAGGACGGGGCCGGCATCCCCCGGGGCAGAGGGGCACCTCGCGCGACTGCGCAGACGTGTCGGGCCATGCCCGGAGTGCTCGCAACGAGATCCCACGCGAGCGCAGAAGGAGGGAGGGAGGGAAGAAGGAATCAGTGTGAAGGGGCCCTGGGACACAAAAAAATACGCACACAAGTCACAGGATTCCCCCCATTATCCCCTATGTTCTGGGCTGTTGTCTCCCCCCCCCACACTCCCCATATCTTCCCATATGTTCTGGGGAATCGACGATTCATTGTGTCAGTGTGTGTGTGTGTGTGTGTGTGTGTGTGTGTGTGTGTGTGTGTGTGTGTGTGTGTGTGTGTGTGTGTGTGTGTGTGTGTGTGTGTGTGTGTTTTTCCTCCTGAACCAGACAGAGCAAGAGGGGAGAAGGCGAACACGCCGCAAGCGCGGGTGCTCACGTCGGGCCAGGCACGGCAGGCAGGCCCGCCGGCATCCAGGATAGGAGCTATAAGTGCACAGACCGAGGCAAGAAAAGCGCCATGAGCGTCGCCACCCTCGCCGTCGTCAGCAAGGTCCTCGTGAGCCTCATCGAAAGTCACCACGGACGTCATCATCCCCATCATCCTCTCCTCGCCACTGTAAGTTTACGCGTTCCCGGGGAGGCGTTTTTCCGGAGCACGTGAAGTGGGGGCTGGCAGACATCCTCACCAT